TGTTGTAATATGCAATTTCTCTACTTGTAAATATAGCTTTAAGTATGCCTGATGTGCTCTGAAGATTTCTCATATGTATATAGCCTCGATCAGGGCACCACTTATGTAACCAGTAATTCTCATACTCATAGCCTCCTTGGCAGGCTCCATGTTATTATGGTGTACACTTCCTGTTCCTGTTCCTCTCACTCAGCTCGTGTGTGTTGTACTGTACGGACGTGCTATTAAAATCTTATCCAAGTGAATCTGAACATTGAACGGAGTTCTCCTTCCAAAATCTCCCAAACCTGCTACTAAAACAACAAATACTGCCACACAAAACTTCGGGCAATTGTTACTACTTTCAGCAGAAATGGTGGTGCTCCCGACTTCAAATAGGAAACAGCACTGTGGCGTACAAGGCGGTGGTCAGTAGCGAGCGGTCGGTTCTCTCTAGTTCAAGTTGTCGTCGAATGGGGCAAGCCAATCTTCCAGCGGCTCTCTTTAATCATGGATTCTAAAGATAAGTATGCGTTTATTTGCCACTTGGGCGTTGAACGATCTTTTGATACGGTGGCTACTAGCCGAATTTACGTGCTGTTAGATAAGAACCGAAGGCGGCCGTATGTCAAGAAAACCGACGACCAGCCGAATTCTAAGCTGTCCCTTGCTGTGTTAGATTTAGACGGAAAGACGTTGACAAGGTGCCATGTACTATTCACCGCTGGTAAGTCCAGTTTTCAAAGTGTTAATTATAACCTATTGATACTTAGAATTTCTTGGTTAAGGGGCTCTGATTTTGTTTTTTGTCTATTCTCAGAAACCAAAGATGACGTGCAGGCAGAGTTGAACCTGGCTAAAGCGCAGGGAACGCGTCTCACCGTTCCTCCAAGGAAATCAATTGGGGATGTGAAATTCCCTGTTGATGATTATGAGTTGCTAGAAGAGCGGCAGGCTGCTAAGAACAGACTGGTGAGTTTTACTATTCAACTGTGCTCTGTCAAGGAAATCATAGTGTCATAAACACGAGAAACATTGTCCTGTGGATAATTCTCAGCAAATAATGAATGTTCTGGATGATTCTAAGGGATTTTAGTGCTACGCTGTATCCCTGTGATGATCCCATTGGCATGAACTGTTGGCCACTATTTGAGGCTTTGAGCATCTCTTTGTGTTGAAACTGTCTCTAATCACTGCCTGGTCAGTTGCGTGCCATATCAAACTAATTCTTATGTGCCTTGACCTAATTTTTTAGAAGCAGAAGAGTGCTGCAAAGCTGGCGGAGAAGGAAAGAAAGTCCGAACATATTAAAGTGAGGGGCTTGAAATCGTTGCCTTCGCACACCAGTACCCCTCTTAAGAGTGTAGCATCATCAAAAGCTGGAAAAGGCTCAGGGGCTAAAAAAAAACCTGGAAAGCACTAACAAGGTATGCTACGATGAAAGATTGCCCTAATAAACACTAATCTTTTTGTGCTATCACTAACACATACATCTCTCTTACAGGATAAATTCCTTGAAGACAAAGCTCTTCAAAATGAGGATGACCAAGAGATGGCATTTTCATCTGTAATCAAACCAGCACCCCCAAAAGTGACCACAAGCAAAGTGCCCCCTATGAAAGATCCCATCACAACCAAGGAGGTGAGTTGATGGTCCTGACCTCTGGAATTTTTATGCGCCTCGATTTTAACATTTCCATTGCAGGATGTGAAAGCAAGTGGGGAGGGACAGTCAGATCCCTGTCATCTACAATTGCCAAGCACTCTTGCACTGGGAAAGAATGATTTAGTTGCCAGCACCACTAAAAAGGTATGCTGGGATTAAAAGTTAGCACTTAATAATAGTTTTATCTGCCATTATTCACTCTTAAATTCCTATTCCAGGATGATAAAGGTTGTGCAGGTGTGCAAGATAAATTCCACACGCTACAAAATGTTAATGGAAATGTGAAAGTCAGTGATGGTGATTCAGAAAATCTGTCATCAAAACCGATTAAGGATCACACTGCACCACCCAAGGCAAGAAAACTGTTACATTATGCATATGCTCCTGAGGAATGTCACACAATTTACATTATGTATTTCATTTCAGATTTCTGTCTCTCGCGTTGCAATCTTTAGTGAATTAACAACACAAATTAAGGAGTTGAAAAAAAAGTTTGACGAAAAGGCTGAGAAAGATGAAAAGTGTTTCAATGAGATAATCTCCGCATTAAAAGATTTGTCACTCAAAGTATCTGCTCCTACTAATGGTTTGTTCATTTAGATTAACATTTCATTTGCAATGTTTCCTGTACTTGCTTTTTTCAATTTGGAAATGACACTACTTGATTTCTTTGCAATTTTAGATGAGTCAAAGCAGAAATCTCGATGTGCCATATCAGAGCTGGAAAGTTTAGTTTCTAATAAGCCCAACAGCCCTGTTCCTCCAGAAATGGTTCTTAAATTTCTCAAAATTCTGTTATCTGTATTAATTATCACTGAACATTTGAGTTAACAGGAGTTTCATTTATATTTCAGGTTTACATAGGCTCAGGAAATTACATTACCAAAAGAGAAATGGTAACAGCAGAAAAGGAAAAGTCATATCGAGGGAGACTGACCCAAGTGGTTGCACTTATACTGAAGCACCCCGAACGGTATAATTTGACAGGTAGTGAGGGGATGGATAAAGTAACCGATGAGCACCTGGAGGCTATCCATGGTAAGTCTTTCTAGCACAGCCCTTCTCTTGCAAACAATTTGAATGCAATTGTCACTTATTGAAATAAGTAATCAACATATTGTTGGGCGGACACTTGTGTTTTATTTTTAAGTTAAACACATGCTGTACACACTAAACCCTTATGCATTTTGCTGTGCATAAACATGCATAGTTATGCAAAATTGTGCATAATATAATGACTGCTTAAAATTCTGCTTGTTAATGCACAACACAATGCACTAGGATTTAGTATGCAACAGTAGTGTGCAGTTGCCTTCTCAGTTGAATTAGTTCAAATGAGCACTCTGCCATTAGCATTACTGCTAACCATAGTATTAAAAGGACCCAGTCAATTTTTGTCTTACATAAAAAAATTTCTGTGTCTCAGGTTTCCTTACAGCTCTAAAGTGGAAGAGAATCAATTTGAACCCCATGAAGGTTGGCAATAGGGTACTGCAACCCCTGTCTGAAGAGTTTGTCCGAAGGACAGTATCAAAATACCTTTCAGAGATTGCCAAAAAACCCAATGACAATGAGCAGGGGACGAAAAGGAAGAAAACAAACTTGAAGGATGATGGTGCGAGCAAGAAGAAAAGAAATAAAGATATGAAAGATGGTGCGAGCAAGAAGAAAAGAAATGAAGAGATAAATGGTGATACAAGCGAGAAGAAAGGAGATGAAGATGAAGATGATGATGAAGATGATGATGATATGATAATTAGGAAGAAAAGAAAGCTTGATGATTCACATTCTGATAGCACAGAACTTGAAGATGTGTCTTTTCTTAGCATTCCAGAATCAGGAATAGTATCTTAGTATATTTGCTTTTTAATATATGTTGTCAAATTTTTAGAGGTTTACATGTAGCGAAGAAGCTCTGATTTGCATAAATACATATACATATTTTTATATTTATATATGTTTATATATAACAGATATCTATGTATATATTTATATTGTGCAAAAGGCTTATACTTACACCGTTTTGTACAATGTTAGACTTTCTTTTCAATTATTATGATATTAATAATTCTAATGCCCAATTGTTTTTTGTTTTGTTCATTTTATGTTTTTATTATAAAATTTAAGTATTTTATAAATAAATGACTGCAGCATAATAATTAACAGTTTTTGTGTACCCTAATATCTCTACACCTATTTACCTACAGGACAAATATAAGACATTGTCCTCTCGGACACCCTGAGGACATTTAGCCGCTTGGACAAAATATTGTCTGTTTTTGTCCACAGGTGTCCTGTCCTAAAATTGAAACAAAAGGACATGTCCTAAAGACACTTCCATGGACAAAGTCTGACAGTGTCCTAAATATGTCTTGTCCTTCCTTGTCTCTCGGCTCGTCAGGGAGGTAGCCAGCTCCTGCAGCGGATGCGGAGAGCGTCGGCGCCGATCATTTAGGCCCCTCTACGCCCCACCCCGGTGAGTTTTGTTCAATTCTGTCGTCAACTAGCCCATCCCCACACCTTTCCGAGTCCGTCGATACCAAATTTTCTGCAATCGGCCCCATAGTAGAGCCTGCACGACGCGTCCTAACAACAACGTTCTATCTACAGCGCGTCATTTTCACAATGTCCTATCTACAGCGCGTCATTTTCACAATGTCCTATTTTCACAATGTCCTATCTACAAAGGGTCGTTTTCACAATGTCCTATCTGCAAAAAGCGCGTTCCGAGATATGCAGAGATGAATGTTTAGAGCTCTGTATCAACTCGGCCGATCATCCTACAGGGCTGGCAGTGGGCGGTATTGAATCTGTAGACCTTCTAGATTCCGCCAGTGTGTTTATATTTGCGCTGAGGCAATCCGGTCCTTTTCAAAATGCAAAGTTACGTCGCTGGTTAACCGTTTGCTCAGTTGACCAATGCACTTTCTCCGGTCAGCTGCGACAGCGAAACCTGATAAAGGAAGAAATGCATATAAAATGTAAGTAATGGCTTAGTTAAGATTAAACAACGTTTTCGCCGTAATTTTTTTGATAATTTAGTTTGTTTTATATTCTTTTATAGCGTATTTCGGCTAACGGAGGCAGAAAAATGGCGGGTAGAACATAAAGGTTCGGTGGAGCCTTTACCCTACCGTCGTGACGTAGATAGGCATAGTTTTATGGGGGGGCGGGGGGGGGGGGTCCACTCGGATCGGGCCGGCCCTAATTAGGAATCAGCTCTCAGGAAGCCGCTTCGTATGTAGGCAATTTTAGATACAAAGCCACAGAAAGATAGGCAATCTACAGTTGCAACGGGTGCGTTACACGTTTAGTTGGTGAACCCTGCGTTGCCTTGGCCGGCCGTAGAGAGACTATAAGTCTACGGTCTCTCAAGCCGGCCGTTGCGAGACGCCTGGCGGGTGGGCAGCCCCAATACACATCAGTATTGCGGGCTGGCCTGCCTTGCCCCTGACAGCTGAGCAGCGCGCCCCACGGCGGCGACGAGGTGTCTCTCGTTGCCGCTAGATGTCGCTGCTCCCGCTGCCCTCCTCCTCCGCGAGGTTTCTTGGTTGTGCCGTCAGCTGATCGGCCTCGCACCAGAACATCAACTCAACACTGGCAACACTAGTTTTAATGGTGTGGCCGTCGTGTCGGGTCGCATCAGCTGTTTGCCCTGTAAATATCTGTCAGTTTCCTCTCGACCAATTGGGAACGTTTCTTGTTCTACCCGCTTTTCTTCCTCCGTTAGCCCAAATACAGTATTCATTAAAATGTGTAACAAATACCAAAGTTCGGTTTCTATGCCACAAACATTTTACCCTTTGAACTTTGTTTCAGATTTTGAAAGATGCACCCATTTTAAGTTTATATATTCCTGGGTTCCCAAGAACAGAAAATATTTTTTGTGTTAAGAGTCATCATTATAAAATAATGAACATAAGTATGATAAAGCCACATTTATTGAGATCATGGCATTAAGTATGCACTAAATATATTTTCATATGTGTTCTTAAACTATTTAGTAAAGACTAAATCACACTCTTACAGGAACACAGCAAAGGTAAATACTGTAATTAAAATTACATATCAAAGATTAGGATAAGACGTTACAATGTATTGCGTTTAAGAATTAAAAATGGCACAAATAGCTTAAATGATTAAGTAAACATCAATTAAACCTAAAAGGTAACACAAGTCACAACAACTTGACATTAAATTAACAATCACAAGTCAGTCTTAAAAAGGTTAAAGCAAATTTTGCGCAGAAATGACATGGTATTGAAAAATACATAATACTAAGCTTGAATAATAATGTTGATGTCTTACTTTAAACAAAGTACGAGTAAAAAAGAAAAATTGCATAAATAGCTTAAATGATGATTAAGCAGTCATCAGAAATCTAAAAGATACCACAAGTTACAAAAAATTGACTAAACATGGACAATCACAGAATCTAAAAATAACGATTAAAACACAGTAATAGTAATGACACAGCTTTGAAAACATATCATACTGAGCTAATCCATTTCAGTTTCTGGCTCTGATTCAGAATCTCCGTCTCCTTCAGAATCAGGTGGAATTTCTGCCAGTTCCTCCTCAACAGGGTTAAGCAAACTTCTATAAAATGGTTGAGATGCTGAGGGTATATGTCCTTGATCACAGTACCATTTCAAGTCTTCCATGATGTTTGCAAGGACAGCAAATTTACGGATATAAGCTGGTTTCAGTCTGAAGGTAGGTAAATTCACTGGTCTACCAGGGCGAACTGGAAGAGGAATTATCAATCTTGCCTCATCTTCATAATTGTGCTTGTAGTAAGCTTTGTTTTCAGTAATAACTATCTCCCTTAGTTTAGTGATTCCGAGATTCCAGCTGTGGTGTTCTGCAAGATTCTTGAAGTCCAGAATATTCTTCTGCTCCATTTCAATAAGTTTGTATTTAGGATCATTAATTTTGGCACTCTTGATGATCGCATACCATTGCCCAGGAGTGAAAATGTCCAAATTCTTACTTCGGTTTTCAATGCAGGCATGGACATTGTCGACTTCCATGTGAGTGTGGCCCTTCTCAAGGAATCGGTGAGTTATAGTTATACCATACTTGACACAAGCCAAATTGAACATAGATAGTACCTTTGAGTTCTTGTTCTGAGACCAACAGTTGTCACTGTAAAAGACAATTTGTTTGATGCCTTCTTTGGCTTTCTCTTCAATGAATGAAAGCAAGCAGCTGGCCACCTCATTTGCTCCTTTGGAGGCAATGGTCTGGTCCCACACATAACACCTACCCTCTTTAGTGCGGTGATCAAAAATTGTGAAGTCAAAACATTTGAATTTACTTCGGTAAAAGTAAGCAGCATTTTCACCCTTTGGGCAGTAAAGAATTTTTTGGAAATCAAAGGAGGCAACACACAAGTCGGCTTCTGTCTTCGCTCGAAGTGAGTCTTCTTTCTTTAGTGCTTCCCCTTTCTTCTTGTTGGCAATATGCATGTCATATTTTTCTTGTTCCCCTGCTGCACTCTTCTCAGCTGGTGTTTTGTACTTCCAGTTCTCACACTGGGAACATCGGTCCTTCTTGAGCCTGAGGAACTTGAGGTGAAACTCGTTGTTAAAAATATCCCTGTACTGTCGTAGGGTGGCAGATTTGGGATCATTGTTTCTCTCTATCAAGTACATTGCATGCATTTTTCTTACATTGAGACTCTCCGGCAAATATTTATACTTGCTTGTTTTTCTGCAGTAATGACTCTCTACAGTTTTGAAAGATGCAATATGTTCTCTCACACTTGCTTTCACTTGAGGCTTAATAGTAGTACCTTTCTTGTTATGTTTTCCCCGTTTATCAGGAGATATTACATTAGTACCATTTCTTTCTAGTTTTCCTAATGCAGTTGTAATAACCTGCTGGCTCTGACCAATGGTGTCTACGAAAAACTTTTTACAAACAACAATAGTTTTTCCATCAGACAGATTAACTGTATACCGAAGTGAATTTTGTCTTCTGGAATTGTCACCCACAGTTGGCCTGGCAACAGGATCTTTTGTTACCAATCGAGAGAGAAAATCCCATTTTCTGCTGGAATCAGTGATAGAATAATATGTATTAAATAATAGCTCTCTCTCTTCCATAGGAACTGTTTCTTGACAACGTCTTTTGCAGATCTCTATATCACACCCAGGACCCATCTGCTTGGCTGGTATTTCCTTCCCTCTCCAATTGACATGGGCCTGACCAGCATTGTAGGCTGCCTTTGTAATGGATGCCTTCCAGCCCTCGACATTTTTCCCCCGTTTTCTTGGACTGTTCGAGATTGGAGCAGGGTTCCTCCTTTTCCTAGTGGCAGGTGGAGTCACTTCAGGCTCGGGGTCCATAAAAACATCACCATTGTCCATTTCCAAGGGCTCTGTAAAAAGAAAAATGATTTAGAATTTATGTAGAAACGGGTAAGGTTAAAAAAATAGCCTTATCAGACTTTAAGTATAAAAAGATTTTTCAATTTGCAAAGATTTTATGTTTTGTTTCCTATTTGTGAAATTATATTTCTCTTATATTCATTGAATCTTATATTCATTGAATCATTTGAATCCGTATTTAAGTCAAGCTGTCAGGCAATTTATAATATGGTGAGACGGGATAAGACTAAATTGTGTCTCCTGGCATGCTGGATTTAAAATTAAAAACTTCTGGTTTTGGACCAAGATAACTTTTAGTGATGTTCTAATTGATGAAATCAGAGTTATTCCACAACAGCTATCACTTGTTAGGAATCTTCAAAATCAAAGAAAAATAAAGATCTGTACCTGAATTATTTTGTGTGTCTTCATTGCCCTCATCATTGACTCTCATATCATGAAGCACATCATGTCCATCTCCTTCCACCACTGTAATAAAAAAAAAAATTGCTAAGAGCTGTACTGCCATA